GTGATCAGTTTTAGGGTTTCACATTGACCCTATGACAAAACCTAACTGTACGGACTGCTTGGAAAGTGCGGCTGAGCACTTATTTCAGACCTACGGTTGAAACCCTAATTCTGTTCCAGTATCTCAGATTGTTCTCTAAGTTGGTTTCAGACCTGTTTTTTGGTTTTGAGCTCTTTTAGGGGGTGAAAACTTGTACGAATTGCTTGGTCTTGTGATTGCCGATTGGTTTCAGATCAGATTTATACTGGTTTCATGCATATACTGTGGCTGCCGATTGGTTTCAGATCAGACCTGCACTAGTTTCATGCATATACTGTGATTACAGATTGGTTTCAGATCAGACCTGCATTGATTCCATACTGGTTTCTGATTGTGATCGACTGTCCAAGTGCTGTTTTCTGTTGTAGTGACCCTAACAGTTCGTACCTACTGATTCTTGACCAAAGATGGAGTTTAAAAATCAGGGAGAAGGTAGTTTTGGGAACAACAGTTATGGTAGTATATCTGAAACTGGGTTTCAGATTACAACTGTGAGATTTGACGGGTCAAACTACTTGGAATGGGCCCAATCAGCCATGATGGCTATTGGGGGAAGGGGAAAACTGGGCTACCTCTTGGGAGATGTGAAAGAACCTTCCAAGGAGGACTCGATGTACACCAAGTGGGTTCAAGAAAACTACTTGGTTATGGCATGGCTGTGTAATTCTATGCAGCCACATATCAGCCGAAATTACTTGTGGGCCAAGACAGCCAAGGAGATATGGGATGTTATGAAAGAAACCTATTCCCAACCCCTTAATGTTGCCAGAGCCTATGAACTGAAGTGTGAAGTGAATAGTCTTAAACAAGGAGAGAAACCAATTTCTGTCTACTTCTCTACACTGAAATCCCTGTTGCATGAGATTGATCACCTAGAGACCCTTGAGTGGGAGAGTTCCAGAAATGCACAGACTCACAGAAAGCAAGTCGAGACAAATAGGGTGTTTGAATTTCTGGCTGGCCTGAATTCAGAATATGACATTGTGCGGCAACAGATACTGACCAGAGATAGTGTGACCCTCTCTCAAGCATACTCCCTGGTGCATAGTGAAGAGACTAGGCGGAAAGTCATGATGCAACCTCAGCCTCTTTCCCCAGCCCTGACAGCTGTTAAAACCTAAGTCAGGGGGTGATCCAGAAAGGGACAAGAAGGAAGATAAACGGGACCTGGTATGTGAACATTGCAAGAAACCCAAGCACATCAGTGTTCTCTACAACTATCCTGCAGAAATATTGAAATAATCAAACCTACAAATGTTTTCATAAACAGGCTTGGGTGCTGGTGATCTTGTGGAAGACTATTTAGGGGAGAGGGAGGAGGGTGCTGCAGAGAAACTCAAGAGAGATATCCACGTTAATGGGTTTTAAGGTTCAGCAGAAAGAAAAAGAGGGTAGGTGGGTGGGTGGGGGAGTGGAACAGAATTCTTCCTTGGTTTAATCAAAGTCTTTGAGTGTGAAGGGTGAAAGTTTGGGGATAGGGAGGAGGGTGTTGCAGAGAAATTTGGAAGTGATATCCACTTGAACAGGTTGGAGGGTTCAGCTTAAAGAAAAAGAGGGCAGTTGGGTGGGGGTATGGAAGAGGTAAATCCACATCCTCTAGAGGGAGAGGGAGATTCTATAGAAGACAGAATTCTTCCTTGGTTTAATCAAAGTTTTTGAGTGTGAAAGGAGATAACTTGAGGGAGGATTTACACTTCATTGGGTGGTGGCTGTTTGTAGTGCTTGGGTGACCATGAGGCACAAGGCCTTGTTATGTTTCTGGTGTTCTGCTTTGTGCAGTTGTATGCAAGGTTCAAAGTATCGGTACGCCCCTGTGTATCGGCAGGGGCGAATTGGTACTAAAAACTTACCGCTCAATGTTTTTTTTTTAGTTTTTTTTTTTTTTTCAAAACTTGATCTATGGAGATGATTTTTAAGTGTTTTTTTATTGAAATAAATGGGGGGTCCCGAAACACCTGTAAATAGGTGTATCAAGACCAAAAGATACGATATGGTACGCCCGATACGGGGCGTATCGTATCGATACTTATGAACCTTGGTTGTATGTCTTTGTAGAATTCCTTTTTGGAGTCTTCTAGAGCACGGTTTGGCTGGCTGAGGTGTTTATAGTTTTGGGTTCTTGTTGCATATTCTAGGCTGTCTGGCCTCTTCTTGGTTGGTGGATTCTGAGTATGTTTTTATCTATTTCTGGGCACTTGCTTCTTTTTATTATACAAGTTACTCAGTTTTGTTTTTAATAGAAGTTAGTTTCAGAAAAAAAATGCTCTGTTCATGAAAGATGATGACCAAGATCTGTAAGATATGGGTATGGTATCAATCTTGCATTAACACCTGTACAATCCTGCTACATGTTTTCTATAGCTTCAATATTAACTTGCTCTGCAAGTCTGCACTCTCTTGTATAATGTAACCTGTGGGCCAGGTAGAATGGTTTTGTATGGATTTGTTTTGTGATTGTTATTGGTTCTGCAATATCTTTATTGAGATTTCCATTTATGTTTGCATGTGGTTATTGTTGTCAGGATGTCTAATTATGTCATTCTTGTGACGGCACAGCTAATTATAGTGGCATCACATATGGTAATGTTGATTTTTTTTTTATTACTTCATTGTATTCTCATCTTACTTTTTGGTACTTAATTCTTTTGTTTCATGTCCTCATGGAAGGCTGGGTTAGGAATTCCTGATACTGATGCTTGGTATATCATTGAGACTATTGCAAACAAAAACAACATTGGATATAAGCAATTTGTAAGTTCTTAATTTCTTTTGCCCTTTTCCTTTGCTTTGGTGTCTCTGCCATGGATGAGGGGTTTTACTTCAGATATTGTCTGACTTGGATCATTAATAATGCTTTTTTGACAAACAGATGCAAAGGAATCACTTAAGTAATCATGATCCTATTTGATTCTTTTGTGGCAGTTCTTGTGATGATAATTTTCACAGAATTCTATAATCTTGATACTACTATTTGACTTTCTTGGAATGGATGGCTTAATTGATCTGCCATCTCCGATAGCTCAAGGATCATTTTGGTTTTAAAAGCAATGATTCTTGGTCATTTGAATATTAAATGTCTCTTATTGCTCAGTACTTGTGGTCATTTTCCACAATGTATTATTTCTAAATAAATCTTTAATTTTGTGAATAATTGGAAATGTACTCCCTACATGAGTTGGATTTAGTTGCCATATGTTTCTTGTACTATTTTTTAATGTTAGAGTCTGGTGGGAAACTGCCCTTCGCAGGGGTTCTTTGAGGGACCCTTGCTCCTACAGATGAAAAGAAAAGGAAATGAGTTCAAATATTGGTTCTTTTCCTGTTCATTCTTGTTTCATCCTTTTATAGGTTGCTTACATCCAATTCATGTTTTATATGCATGAGCATCTTAACTAACTGAAAACACATTTCCTTTTGAGTCTGATGATACTGCTGGCCGTGGGCTTGGGAGTAGTGGCCTTATGAGCTTGCCCCTCCTCGAAAACAACCTTGTCCTCAAGGTTGAGCTGTGGAAATTGTTGGAGAGAAGAATTGTCTTCCCAAGTGGCCTTTGCTACTAGCAGATGAGTCAACACCACCAAGGCCTGCTTAGCAAATCATTTACCTATTTTCACCCAACAAAAATCAATGATGTTGAGGGGTTCACTTCAGCCTTGATCTCTCCTTCAGTGAACTTGTGCAGGAAAGTGTTGATGGTAGATCCTAGGTCTAGGTTCTTCTTGAGCAAGCACACATGAAAGACTTGGGCCCCGTTTGGTTCATGGGAATAGGGGTCTGGAATCAGAATCAGAATGGGCTATTCCGATTCCAACTGTTTGGTTGGGCGGAATCGGAATCCCATTCCCATTCCTGCTGCAATGGCATTCCCCCATTTGAGGGAATGGCCATTCCCTGCCCCTCCCTTGGGAATGAAATCCCATTCCTGCTCACTCCCATTTCCATTCCCATTCCTGTCTGAACCAAACAGAATATGGGAATGGACCATTCCGATTCTGATTCCAAAGGATTTCGATACCGATTCCGACTGCGAACCAAACGGACCCTTGGTGTAAATGGGAGGTAGAGAGCAAGTCCAGCCTGTAGGCAACTGCTCCAACCAGTAATAAGATATGGTCCACAATGGCATGTGTTAGTGTTCATATTAGAGAAGAAGAAGAGAGGAGGAGAAGAAGGTTTGAGAGAAATGGGGTGGCAGCAGCTCTAACAGTCCCTAATCTTATTATTTATAGTAGGGTTTAAGAGATGGTGTACAATGACAAATCTACCCCTGATTATTAGGCAGGAAAGAAAAGAAAAAAAAAACGTATTAGTATAATAGAGGCCTAGGCCCATTAAGCCTAAGAAAGAAACAAAAAAGATAACCACATAACATAAACAAATGGCCCAAGCCCACAAGCTAGGTCTCACAACACTTCCTCTCAAACTGAGCATAGATATCTTTCATGCCCAGCTTGCATAACATCTCCATTAATCTTGCCTTAGGTGGCATTCGGTAAATCTAAAGTCTGAAGTTTGAAAAGCAAAAAAACCTCCGAAAAGGCTCTGAAAGTATTCAGTGGAAAGTTTGCTTTTTGATTTTGCAAACATCTGAATATAGTGGAGTTGTTTGGAAACTGAATGTTGTAACATCTGAAAATTGTGCATTTTACAAATTTACCCCTTCGTTATTTTGTAAAAAAAAAATAAATGAAAATGACTACAATAAAATATTAAACAAATAATAAAAAAGGCTAATAAATAATATTTAAAAGAGTAATGAAAAAGTTTAATATTACAAAAATAATAAAAAAATAAAATAATCATACAATATTATCAAAAATAATATCAGAGTAAGTATAAAATATAGTAATATTAATAATATAATAATACTAATAAAAATGAATATAATAATATTAATAAAAATTAATATTATCAAATACAATGAAAAATAAAAAGCATAAAATACCAAAATAATTCTTAACCAATAAATAAAAATATTAAATATACTATTAAGGATGATTAAGTATTAAAACTATTTTAATAAAATAACTAAACATTATAAACTAAGTACAAAATATTAACTAATAAATGAAAATTATAAAGAAAATTAAAAATAGTAAAATAAATTAATAAACAAATCATCTTAATTTATTTATAAAAAAGATTAGAATTCTGTAGAAAGAGAAAAAAAGAAAAATATATAAATACAAAAATTTGAACGGGGTCGAGTATCTAGTCATCGGCGTGAAGATGAAAAAATAGGGGATGGGTAGAGGTATCATTTTTTATTAATTTTTAAAAGGGGCACACTCAAGAAGAAGAATAGTCAGTGAATAGGGGCATCTTCGTGAGTAGTGGTAGTAAGAGCAGCATCGACAAAGCCATAATCTCCACAATCATAGGCCAACCCGAGCAATCCAAGCTGGTCTTCCAATTACCTTTGCAACAGCCGCACCTTTCTCTCCTCCTCAACCAGGTTTCAGGACCAACCCTCTTTGCACCACCGCAGTCCACTCTCGTCGCCATCTTTGTACCGATTGCTCCATCCCTTCTTGTCAAGAAGAAAGGGGGAGCAAAGAAGAGGAATATAAAGTGTTTCCCTTCTCTAGCCTTGATATAGAGAACAGTCGGTGATCTGGTTTGCTGATTCCTTTGTTCACTGCAGTGAAGGAGGAAAGACTGTCGGCGTTTTGTATTTTGAGAGAGAGACAGAGAGGGGGCATAGATGGAATCGACATTTCGTCCACTACCTTCGAATGCGCTTGGAGGTAGATTGGGTGCTGAACGATTTAGAAGTATTTTCGGTGTTCAGATGAGCAGTTCAGACTTTGGAGGTGCAGCCGAACGACCTCCGACCTCCGAAAAAGCAAGATTTTCAATGTTTGGAGGTCGATTCAATGCTACCGAATGCCACCTTGGTGAGCCCCTTGGTAAAAACATCAGCCAGTTGTCTTGTAGATGGCATATAAGGATTAAGGAATACAAAGGTTGTTAGGATAAATTCTTTCTCACACAAAGTGCCTATTAATCTCCATATATTTTGTCCTATCATGTTGGATTGGGTTGTTAGCAATGTTGGTCACAAATTGATTATCACAATACAGCTTTAGAGGCACAGTAACATCTATCCCCAACTCCTTTAGAAGAATCTGAAGCCAAAGCAATTCAGCAACTCTAGAGCCTTAGCCCTATATTCATCCTCGACACTTGATCTTGCTATAATTGTTTGTTTCTTGCTCCTCCAAGTAATAACATTACCACCTATGAAGGTACAATATCCAAATGTAGACCTTTTATCACCAAAAGAACCTGCCCAATCGGCATCAGTATAAGCTTCCACCTCTATTTTCTCATATTCCATAAATAGTAATCCCTTTCTAGCACATGTCTTCAAGAATCTAAAGGTCCTTTCCATTTCCTTCATATGTGTAACTTGTGTAGCATGCATAAATTGGCTGACCACATGAACTACATATGCAATGTTAGGTTTAGTGAGAGATAAATAAAGCAGTTTACCAACTAATTTCTGATATCGCTCTTTGTGAGGATACAATTCTCCATCATCTTCATGCAACCCATGATTTTGCTCTATAGGAGTATCTACTGGTTTGGTCCCTAGCTTTCTTGTCTCCTTCAGAAGGTCCAATACATACTTTGGCAAATGTAGATTCCCTTACTAGACCTATCTACCTCTATCCCTAGGAAGTATTTTACAAGTCCCAGATCCTTGATTCAAACTCCAAGGCTAAGAAGCCTTTCAACTTTTGAATCTCATCTGCTTTGCTTCCTTTCTTTTACAAAACAAAGTGCGATCAACACTGCTTTGCTTGTCCCCAACAACCTTCATTGCCTTGCATAATCTTTCGAACCAAGCCCTTGGAGATTGTTTGAGACCATATAAGGTCCTTAGCTTTGCAAACATTTCCTCTCATGTCATACCTTGGAGGAGGATCCATGTAGACTTCTTATAGATCTCCATTTAAGAAAGCATTATTAACATCCAATTGGTATAGTTCTCAAGAAAAGTTTATTGCAAAAGAAACACTTGCATAGTATTCAATTTGGCAATTGGGGCAAAGGTCTCCTTATAATCAATACCTTCTTTTTTGGGTGAATACTTTTGCAATTAATCTGGCTTTATACCTCTTGATAAAACCATCAACCTTGCGTTTGATTATATTCACCCACTTGCACCCCATAGTGTTCTTCTCGACCAAGAGATCTACTAGCTCCCAAGTATTTTCCTTAACAAGGCTTTCATTTCCTCATCCATACTTCTCTCCATTTGAGATCAACAATAGCCTTTGAGTACTTGGAAGGGTTAGAAACAGAGGACAAGGCAGAGACAAAAGAGTGATAGGCAGGAAATAAATGAGATCTGAACATGTTTTAACAAGGTAATAGGAAGATTTGAATTGGGATTACAGGAGGTTAGGAAGAGCAATACCTTGGCTAGAACATAAAGTTTCGTATTGGTTGTTGTCATTAATTGGCAAGCCTTTCCTCTTCCTTTGAGAAACACTTAGTTGCCTTTCATCATCAAGGTTAGGAGCAATTGCCTCAATGTGAGTAGCACCACAAGGATTTTCATCATTCGTAGTCTCAATTGGACAAATAGATTCAACATGAAGAGAGTCTGAGGAGAGAGAGAATTAGAGGGGGGGGTTGGAAGAGAGGAAGTAAGAGCCGAGGCAAAAGGATTAGCACTAAGAGGAAGTCTCTTCCACTCCACTAGTCTCCCACTGAAGAGGATTCCAAGGAGGCTCAAACAT